AAATTTATAATTAATTTTGAAAATAAATATTCACATATTAGATTATTTGAAAAATTAAGATAAAATATATTTTATTATATTGAATTTTAGGGTAAAGTACACAAGTGATATCCGATTATAAGGCGTAGCTCTGTTGAGTCCTCAACTATTAAAAGTTATAAAATGACACTTCGATTATATGGCATTATTTTTTTGAGTCCCCTACTATTAAAAGTTACAAAATCATACTTTTTCGTTAAAAATTTTACGACATCGTTGTTGCTTTCAAGCATTGACTCGACAACATAATATTTCAAGAACTAGCTCGATGACATAATATAAACAGCGAGTTGATCCACAAAATATAGTTCAGACAATTTTATGATAAGATTTTATCATATCCCAGTTAACATGTTAACGTCCAGTTCAAACAATCGTCAAATATTTAACGTAAAATGATGAGTTTGAAATGTTTGAATAGTCAGGTGACCATTTTGTAACTTTTCATAGTTGGAGACTCAACAAAGTAATACTCTACAATTGAGGGAGTCAACAAAATAATACTCTACAATTGTGGGACTCAACAAAACAATACCCTATAATTAGGAGATCATTTACATAATTTACCTTAAATTTTAGTGAATATATATTTTTTGAATAATAAAAGTGGTCAAACCATTTTTAGTATGAAATCAGCTGTTGCATTTGTCTCGTAATAAATTTTCTAAAAGTCGACATACCACAAAAATTATTTTTAAAACAAAAGAGAAAGGTCTAAAGATCTTTGAGAGACTTAGAGAGTAAACCATGTCTCAAATATATTTTGGAATAATGCTAAAATTACCCCTTCAATGTTTATTAAAATGACCATTCAATCTTTTTTTATTGTTTTGGCTCACAAAGTTTCATTTTGGGCAAAGAAACCATTTCGTGGATGGAAATCATTAGTTAACAAACGATTAACGCTCGAAAATAGAGTATTTTTACCTTAAAATGAAATGTTATAGGCTAAAATGCTAAAAAAAGCATAAGGTTAAATGAAAATTACTTAGTTATTTTCGTATTTGATCTATCAAGTTAAATTTTTTGAATCATTTCAAGAATGAATATAATCCAAGAACATGTATAATATACAAACACATAGTATTTTTTTTATTTTTTAAATGTTAAGTTAAACTTTTGTTATTGGGATTAGAGAGGGTTAACGATTGAGTGACTAAAATATATTAAATCAATAAAGTAAGCATCGTTGTTAAATTTTTAACGGTAGGTGACCAAAATGAAATTAAAAGGTAACGATAAGCATAATTTTGAAACAAAAAATAATTAGGTAATCAAAATGAAACAAAAATGATAGTTGGGTACTAAACGGGGAGTTTACACAATAAAAAATAAGAATAATATCTCACAAAACTGTTTGAGCACCAGTTCCCTTTTTCATTACTTACAAACTTATCGTTGCAATCTGTTAGCGAGAAGGAGAAAAGGCAAAGGTTGAGAGAAGAAAGGCAAAATTTTCTGGTTATGGCGGTTGTTGCAGGACTTGCAACGACGTCGTCGTTTGTTACGGTAAAGTTTGAGTGCAACCCTTGGGCACCAACTACGGGGAAACTCTGGGGTGCTAACGGAACCCACCACCCATTGGCAGCGAAAATGGGTTCGAAACTTACGGGCGTGAAAGCCAGGTTCGGTTCTTTCAAGACCGGTGGTGCTGGTGTTTTGGAACGACCCAGTTTCGATCAATCCCAGTTTGACCCTTCTACACAAGTTCTTGAAGGTCCGTTCGATTTCTCGTGTTCCTTGCTTTTCAGCTTTTGAAGTTTGGTTCTTGAAGCTATAAAATGGGAAATTCCAAATTGGATTTTGGATGTGAATCTTTTTCGTTTATTTTCTGGAATGGACAACTATGGTTATTTTAATCAAGTGATTGTTTAGAAGATTGACAAGAGAGATGGGGACGAAAGATTGAGTCTTTATAATTGGTGAAAGTGAAATGATTGAGTCTTTGGTGTTTACTTTATAAATTACTTGGTTCCATTTTCGTTTCTTGCTTCAATTTCCCATCAATTTTAGCTTTATCTGTGTTTCCTTTAAGCTGTACAACTTTCTTGCCTTGTTTATCAATTGCAAAATGATGTCGACTAGCATATCGGAGGTTCGAAAATAGACGTCCGTCCAGCGAAGTTGAACCATTGTTACTTGGTTGTTATGTTGTTGGGATATGGAGTCTGAGTGTTTAGTATATTTGGATGATTAAAGCCTACGAAGATTGAGTTTTAGTTATTCGCTGTGGATGGATGCTTCTATATATGGGAATGACAGTGTTCTTTATGTTTGTGTGAGTTGGATCAAATGCTGATACACTTTTTCTGCCATTAATGGCCTAACTCATCTGAAATTTCTTTGAGTTTTCCAGTGATGGATAACTCACTTACCATGTTTATTCTGACAATAACAGGTGGTGATATCGGGCGCTCGACAGATAGAAAATGTACTGGCAGTTGAGACAGTTATAGAGTTTTGCTGGTTGACGATGCTCGCCATTCAGAAATATTAGGTAATTTATTTACATAACTTCAAGCATAACTAAAAATATAGGTTAAATTTGAAAACGTATAGGTTCAATGTTCTTTAATAATAGAAATTCTTTTGCTGCTTTCATTAACAGTTTTTGTTTTTTCAAATTTTAGAAGTCAAAATCAGTATTTGGATGGTTTCAATTAGTGCTGCTATGTATGAAACATGGAGGAAAAATTATTCAGCTCCGTTGTGCAGGACTAAAATGCAATATAGTACAAGGACTGTCTAGTTATTTGAAGTGGAAAAAAATAGTCTAGAGGCCGATATCTGATTCATCTGTTTGCAGGTTTAATGCTCCAGTTATGAGGAAATTCACTACCTTATGGAGCAAACTAAGTTGTTAAAACTTTTCAACCAATTTGTGTTCTTTCATGCATATTTATTTTTATCTTGTACTTGTCTGTTATTTTCTTGCAGTTGCAAAGGTTTTGCCCCAAGTTGTTCCATCCGTTACACCTGATGATGCAAGAAAACTATTCCACGAATCGCGTGAAAATGGGGTGGCAACCGTGATAGTCACGGTAAAGGTATACGTCTTTTTGCATTTGCTGATTGCTCAAATGAATATACGAAGTCTGTGATCAAGAGTTGAGGATGCAACATATATAAATGCTCTTGCATTTAAGCATAGCTTAAATAGTTCGAGTCTAAATTCTAACATGACTGGGTTGGTCTGCTTACCCTATTCTCCGATGCAGTTAGGATCAAGCCTGATTGAAACCGGAAATGGATCAATTAATATGTTATTTGTCTTAATCTTCAGGAGCATGCTGAATTCTATTCGCAAATGATGGTTCACAGGGGATTACGATCTATTATCGAGCCGGATTCGAGTGTAGTGTAAAGTGGTTTTAGACCTTATATCGCATGAACTGCAACAAGCGAAGACTTTGCCGCGACAAATTTGGAGAACATAGACTTCCATTGAATTGTAGACCCTGATATTGAACTGGAAAAAAATAGTTCATTGTGAGGACTTAAAATGCTGGACTGCAGTTAAAAAAATACAGATTTGTATACATTCTGTAGCTTTTGTTTCAATGGTACACTTTGCAGTATACCTCTCATTTTGTATGCAGAATTCGCCTCTGGCATTAAACAAATAGCGTATACAAATTCATCATAATGTGAAGTTAATGGACTCAGTATAGGTTACGAGCAAATTCAGATAAACAAATTTTCATAATATCGTACCGCATCTTCATTGCTTCATATGCAAGAACTACATCTGATTCCTTTCAATCGCAACATCGAAATGAACCGTCAGCTAATTGTTAAGTTCATTTGTATACATGAATGTCATGGTTATAATATGATAATCTCCAATATTTTTTTTATAGAAATTCATGGTGTAATCTAGACTATGTTCAAAACTTTGACATGAGTTGTTGGAGAAGATTTAATGATGAACTTAAAAATAAACCCTTTAATTTTGATATTTATTAATGAAGAAATTAATTTGAAAAATAAGATTATTGTGGACTCAAAGTATAGGTTACGAGTACAAATTTTCACGTGTCGCATCTTCATTGGTCCACATGTAAGAACTCCTACATTTAATTCCTTTTAGTCGAGTAGTATTTTTGCAACATCGAAATGAAACGTCAACTAATTACTAAGTTTATTCGTATACATGAATGACATTATTATAATAAGTTATTGGAGAAGAAAATAACATTAATGATGAACCTAGAAATAATCTCTAAATTTAGTTCTACTTTTTATATGTATTAATGAAGAAATTGATTTGAAAAATAAAATTATGTACGAATGATGTGAAAAAAAAAACATTGACAAGACTTTATCCAGGTGGATTGATGACATGGTAGAAAAATGTCACTACAATAATCTCTCATTATTTGGTGACTAACGCATTACTAGGGTAAATTAACATACAAAGATGATAGATTGTCTTTCCATTCAGTTTAGCCCTTCAACCTTCATATAATTAATTAATTTAATTTAGTCCTTTCATTCAAAATACCATATTATCCATTTATTGAATTATCTTTTTTAAAATGAAATCTTATATAATACTAATTAAAAAATTGAACTATTAACATTAACATACTCCCGATATTTTAGAACAAGAAGAAGAGTTAAACACCATAAAATTTTAAAAACTTTCAACAAATCGTCACCCTCCGCAGGGATCTCTGCACCACAGAAAAGGAATCCAAAACTAAAAATGGTGATATCCTTCAAGTATAAATAGGGCAATGGAAATGCAGATTACTCAAGCAAGAACAAAAGCTCAAGGGGCTTTAAGCAATAAGGAATAAGCAGCCCCACGCAGCTGCAATAAATCTTCTTCTTTCTTTCCTACTTTCTTCCGCAGTTGTATAGAGGTTCAAGGGAAAGCAAGGGAGGAAAAAGAATTTTATTTCTTGTTCTTTTTTGGTTTTTTTTAATTAGATAAAAAAAAGGTTTTTTTAATAAAAATGGTGAATAACGTGCTTTTTATCATTGTCCTTTTGGTGGCGGTGGTGGCGTCGGCGCTTACCGTGTATTTTGCTATTGGTCTCCAAGAAGCAAAAAAGCTTAAGGATGAGACTGAGGAGAGGGAAGAGAAGATGACGAATTCTAAGAAGGCCATACGGTCCATTTGCAAGCCGACGAAATTTAAAGAAGCGTGTGAAGAGAGCATGGTGAACTCGAACACGACGGATCCCAAGGCGCTGATAATGGCGGAGTTCAAGGCAACAGTGGCGGAGATTAAGAACGTGATGGTGAATTCGAAGACGGTGCAAGATTTGCAGAAGGATGAAAAGACGAAGGCAGCTTTTGGTGTTTGCCAGGAGTTGTTCGATTGGGCTGTTGTGGACCTTGAGAGATCGTTCGACAAGCTCGGGGAACAAGACATGACTAAGATCGGCGATGTTCTCTTGACCCTCCAGGTGTGGCTGAGCGGCGCCCTTACCAGCCAAGAGACGTGTGTAGACTCGTACGCCGAGATGGACAGTCACGCGGCGAAGAAGATGCAGGAGATCATAGCCAAGTCACAGGAGTTAACCAAGAACGGCCTCAACATTTGAACGGGTTACCGTCGATATTGAAAGAATTCAACATCGACGACATTGATATCTCCTCCGCCTTTAATCGTAAGCTTTTGTCGGGCGATTTCCCTGAATGGATGAGCTACGGTGACCGGAAACTCTTGCAGGCAACACCTGCTGAGATTACCCCTAACGTCGTCGTCGCTAAAGACGGAACTGGAAAATTTGATACCATCGCCAAGGCTCTTGCTGAAGTCCCAAAGAAGAATACTGAACGATTTGTTATCCATATTAAGGCCGGAGTTTACGAGGAGAGGATCGACATCCCCAAGACTGTTGGCCACGTCATGTTCATCGGAGACGGTCCGACCAAGACTGTCATCACCGGTAGTGTCAGCGTCGAAAAGACACTGCCGAAACCTTCGACATTCCGCACTGCAACGGTTGGTAAGTTCAAGAAATTTTCTTTGACATATGACAACGTATTCGTAAATCCATAAACAATATTCATTTTTATCACTAATCTCTAATTTCGACTTTGTTTGATTTTGTAGCTGTGGCTGGCTTGAACTTCATAGCCAAGGACATCGCTTTCGAGAACTCCATCGGACCGGTGGGTCATCAAGCGGTCGCCTTCAGGGGCTCCGGTGATATGGCCGCCTTCTATAACTGCCATTTCAACGGGTACCAAGACACCCTTTACGCCCACGAGGACCGGCAATTCTACCGCGACTGTGTCATCACCGGAACCATAGACTTTATCTTTGGCGACGCTAGGGCCGTGTTCCAAAACTGTCAACTTATCGTCAGGAAGCCGCTGGACAACCAAAACTGCGTCATCGTTGCAGAGGGGAAGGAAAGCTTAGAGTCAAAAGGCGGCTTCGTGTTCCAAAATTGCACCTTCTCCGGCGATAAGGACTACCTCCCAGTGAAGGACAAGAACAAGTCGTACCTCAACAGACCATGGAGGCATCTTGCGACTGTTATCATAATGCAATCACAGATCGACGACATCATCCAACCGGAGGGGTACATCCCGATGAATGGCAATGACGGCCTGGCTACCTCGTACTACGTCGAGTTCGGCAACAGGGGACCTGGCGCTAAAACCGACGGCAGGGTCAAATGGGAGGGTATCAAGACACTCGATGCGACTGAGATAAAGAAATTCGCCCCCGGCGTATACCTCGATTCCGATGACTGGATTCCGGAAACTGGAGTTCCCATCATTACCGACATGATCCCTGGGCTCTAAACTGGCAACAAACCTAAGGCCATTGTTTTATCATTTATTATTATCGTCATTGATGTACCTATTAATATTTATAATATAACAACATTGTCGACATTCATTTTCATCCCGTATTTTTATGCTATTATTATTATAATAATTATATTATTATTACAAATAATACAATAAAATTAAAGGCCCAATCCCAGAGGTCCGTTTACAAATACAAAGGCCCGTTTTTCAGATCTAATCTAGGAAAAACTTTAGGGTTTACCAACCCTAAAGCTATCCCAGCTGCCGCCTCCAGGTACCCCAACCGGTGACTGCCACGACGACGACAACGCCTCCAGTGACACCTCACCACCGCCACTGTCACCATCAGATCTCACCAGATGACTCCAGAAGATGCAGGAGAGCCGCACACCTCGGTCCCTATGGTGAGTCACCATAGTAGATCCGATGACTCACCAAAATGAACGGTGGTCCAAGGCCTTCCGAGGCCTATAAAAAGCCTTGAAAAACCTACAAAAAAGGGGGAAGAAAAAAATGGGAAGAACGGGAAGAGAGCAAACAACACCAACAAGCAACAAACAAACCAGAAGGAGAAGAAAAAAAAGGAGATCTTACCTTCGTCGAAGCCCAAACGTCGTCGGAAAAGTTGTTTTATCGAAGGTAAAATCTTAGATCTAGGACGTTTTGAAATTTTTTAGGAAAAAAGGATGATAGTTTCGGGTCTAGGGTGAACCGATCTACGATTTGAGCTATTTATATTTTTTCCGACCACTATGAATAGTGGCCGGAATAGTGTCTAGCGGTGGTCGGCCGGTGACCGGAGCTCCCTCCGGTGAGAGAATTTAGAGAGAAGTGAGAACTTCTCTCTCTTTAGAAAGAGAAGCAAAATTGAGAAAATGATAAGAATTTCTTATCTTGAGTCAAAATTGGTGTATTTATACATTTATCAAAACTACGTTGTTTTGGTAAGGGAATGTCTGTGCAATTTCAAGATTGTTAAATCATTTCCATAATCCCTGTATTTTATAATCTTCTATTATAGTCACCAAATTAGGTTTCTATAGCTTTAATTTTGTCTTCACCTTTTATTTATTTTCATTTTTAGTCACTATCCGTATATTTACATATATTTAAATAATATTTTAGGACTTTTAATATATATATTTTATAATATTTCGAATATTGATTAATAATTTATATTATTTTTTCATATATTATTATTTAGGTTATTATTTATTTTTTATTTCGAATTTAATACTTATTTATTATTTTTATCACATATATATCCTAATAATGTATAATAATGTTTAAAATATAATAAAAATGATGACTAATTAAAATAATAATAAAAATCCATAGTGCTATTATTATTAAAATTAATAAAAAGTTAGAAGCATTATAATATATTCCACTCATTTTTGTCATGTCTTCATTTTCAATTAAATTAATAAGAGCACTAACTTTTATTTTTTATTTTTAAATACTAATCCCATGATTATTGGTTTTAATATATAATAATGTTTTTTATATATATATTTTATTCCTTAAGTAATTATAATATTAATTTTCAAAATATATTATGTTAATTAATATTTTTAATAAATGTTTTTTATTTTAATAATTAATAAATAACGCTTTTTATATTATTTTATTCATTAACATATTTTTTTAAATAATCATAATATCTTACTTAAAAAAACCTAAAAATATATTTATTTTATTTTTTGGTTATATCAAATTATTATAATATTATTTCTTTGGAAAAATTATCACTTTTTCATTATTTTGATCAGAAAAAGAAATATTCGTCCTAAAACATTTTAGGGAATAGTTTCTCTTCGATTGGAAATATTGGAATATTTTCTATTTTTACGTAGAATTTTCTTTAAATATAATTATGTGATTAAATATGGAATAATGGGATTATAAATTGAAATTAAATATAAATTTGTTAATTTATTGCAAAGACATTAATTAATAAACAAGGTATCAATTTTGGGCGTTGTGGGGGTGCTAATCCTTCCCTACACGTAACCGACTCCCGAACTCATTTTCTGGTAAACATACCCTTTTTGTGTTATTTTAATATTATTTTTATAAATTTTATTAAAATAACATAACATTTTTGGTGACCAATCACACCTTAATAAAATGATTGGTGGCGACTCCACAAATTGTATTTTATCTTATACCAGAAGAAAAACATTTACTTTTTCGAGACGAGATTTAGAAAGCAACGACACTTGTTTTCGCCGGGCGAAATACCGTCTCGACAGCTTGGCGACTCCGCTGGGAACTATTTTTTTAGAGAGTCAAGCCACCAATTTATTAATTAATTATCTTTGCAATAAAATTATAAATTTGTTTTAATTTAATTTTTTTCTTGATTATTTTAATAACCATTTTTTGTGAATTTATTAACAATTAAATAGTTGTACTAACTTGTTTGTTAATATTTTCAGGTTTAATTATATGTCTTTAGATTTAAAGAATAAATTTCTATGTTATACATTGTTTTTCTTTATGCTTTTCATCACACACTGTGCACTGCATTATCATGACATGAGCTAAAACTCCGCTCTTATCCTATTTAGCTTGAATGAGAAACTACTCCCTCGTGTGGTTTTCACCTCCGTATGGGATAGGAGACCATTCCTTGAGCTCACACCTTATGTTCCTCGTGTGGGTTTCACCTCCGTATGGACATAAAGAAATGTGTTCCTTCGAATTGAACTCGGTTTGAAAGTCTGTGATGGAGCATGATTGAGGGTTTGGTAGTCCAAGGGGGCACCAACAAAGGACAATTCGATGACCCTTTTACCTTAGATCCAAACCCAGCATATACTAAACCTAGAACTCGAATCTAGTCAGAGCCTAACCCAAGAGAATCTCGTAAGGTTAGCACACAAGGAAAAGCATGTTGAGTCTTAATTTACTTTATTTTCCTAATAAATGCATGCTAACTAGAAATCATGCGGTTAGATTTATTACTCCAAATAAAGCATGGAACTAGATTACATGAGGTTAGGATTTTTATGATATTTCTACCTAATTTTCCTTTGTTTGTTTTTATCATTTTCATTATGCATTACATTTTTCATACCATGGTGTTGATTCATTATTGATGTTCATATAGAAGGCTAGAAATATAGAACGAAGAGTCCTACATGAAGTAGAAAATAATACAGATGTATCTGCAATATGTTTAAAACTTCGTTTTAGTATAAAAGTTGTTCTAAGAAATCAGTTCAGTATCAACACCTTTTTGCATACATGCATTTGCATTACACAATTCACATTCTAATTTTTGCATTTATGTATTTTTTACATTTTCATTTTACATTCACATATTTGCATTTGCATTCGCATCTTTACGTTTGTATTTACATTTTCATTTTTTACATTTACATCTTTGCATAGTTATATTTCATTTTCAATCTTACATCATGCATTTTCATTTTGTTTCAAACTATTTTACATGCATTTGATCATAAAAATATGGGAATAATTCGTGGAGGATTTCATGACAGAATTTTCGAAATTAAATTGGAGCTAACTTGGTCTTCCTAGAGAATGATAAGAGTCATGAATAAGATTTTAGCAAGGGTTGGTAGAATCGAGAAACTACAAGAGCAATTATCAAGATTCAACAAGAAATGACTAATCATGCGAAATATTTCCAAGATGATTCAAAAGAACAAATGACCACGTTAATGGACCTGATGAATGTTGTGATCCATGGAGAGAAACCCTTAGAGAATCCCGCTGTGAAGGTTGTGAATAAGGTTCTGAATGATAATGATGAGTTCGAAGTGATATTGTCTGATGATCAAGAACCTATTAAGGAGCATGATAATTCAAGACAGCTTCAAGATTTGGTCCCAGGGGGCATTGGTGAATTAATGGTGAATGAAGAATCAATGAAAGAAAAAGTTCCCTTGTGAGAGATAAGCTTTACCCAAAGAAGATGGGCATAGAAAAGGGTCAAAGGCTGATCAAGAAGAAAAAGAATATGCAAAGTTTTTAATTCCATCCTTTCCACTTTTCGAGTGAAAATTTGTATTCAAAAATGCTCTCAGCAGAATTAATTACTCCACGATATGTCCAGCCATAGTGGCCTCCAATTGAAAAATGGACCTATAAGGAGGTTCCTTGGATAAACGAGACTGGAACTCCAAATTGTTTAGCTAAGGTTCCTAGTAACCTTGAGGGAAATCTCCAAGAACCTTTAGAGCAAGCAATTCAAAAGTGCAAGGTAGAAGAAGGGGTTAAGGTTCAATACTCAGAAATCATTGTCTCGATAGAGACTAATGTGATCAAATCCTGTGAAGAATATCAGATGTATGAAAATGGAAAAAGAAATCAAAGCAAAAAGGTTCACATGGATGTAATTCGAGATTAGCCCATAGGTTTAAAAATAAACTAGGAAGATGCCACCATGAAACATCTCAAACACCATATTAGACTTCCTGAGGACAGATGGGGCTTTAGACAGTTTAGAGAACCTAACAAATACTACGCCCATCACAATTGTAATGTGTTCAGAACCAAGACAAAGCTATTGTCACCAATGAGAATTGTTTTGAGCCCAACTTCCAATTGATAAATGAGGAGATGATATCTGAACAAAAAACTGCTAAGAAAAGAAGTAGTAACTGATGCGTCTGAGAAATCATCCAAACGAGCCCAGATAAGAGAAATGATCAAAAGATGGGGGGCAAGTAAGGACAAAGACTCTGGTCCAATTATAAACCCAACATTCTAGGAATGATAGGGCAAGCCTAATAAACAAGTGGAAGTTGTTATCTTCCACAGTTGCATTTCATTTTCAGCATCTTGTTTGAACATGTTTTTTGTTCCTTTCTCCGTCTTTTTGTGATAAATAAATTTGTGTTGCTTATAATGTTATGAGCATTGAATCAACTTTGAAATCTTGAAATTCTTTGAGTATCATTAGATTAAAAGCTCTTTACGATTATAGTTATACATCTTTGAAAAAATTATCAAGATTGAATACCAAGAAAAAAAAGGATCTGACCTTACCTCAGAAGAAATACATTCCTCAAATATTAACTTTCCACAAATATGAGATAGCTTTCTCCAATGTAA